CACATTTCACCTGACAGCCAGCTTTGTGACAAATTTATGGCCCCCAAGTGACAAGAAGACACAAAAGTAATGGCTCTCTTAGTCCAAAAGCAGGACGAACTAAAGAGAACTAAACACACTTGAGAAGCAGCGTGTGAGATATATCGTCACCATTTATTCACACAGGCAGGTTAGCAAAGGCACTACGCATTCTTCAGCAGCAGCAAACAGGCATTCAACCTGCCTTCAGCAGCTCCACAAAATGATCCCAGAAGAGCAGGGTTGTGTCTTTTGACTAATGCAACTGGGCTGAGCTGGTGATTATACCATTATCGAAGAAGGAAAGGTTTGTTTGATTTTCCCCTCCTTTCTCAGAAGTCCACCAACTTAAAGCCAAGGTACAAAGGAAAAAGGAAAAAAGACTTCAAACTTGCTGGTTTAGCATGTATGAAGCCCTGGCTTGACCACAGCACCATAGCACGGAGGGGGAGAGGGGGGAGGAAGGGAGATTTAGCACAGATTCTCAGGGTTTAGCTGAACAGCTCATCTGAAGGCTGTTTTTCCTCTGCCATGTTATGCAAATTACTGTATGCTACCAACTCTACAGGTAAATCACCAGAATGTAAAGTATAACAAAATAATTGAAAATACTACCAATAAGAGTCACTAATTGCTATTAATGGGGAAAACTTTGGAGAAAACAGACCATGGCCAACATCTAGCCTCTGCACTTGGCTGATAAGATGTCTCCAAGATCATTGGCTGGGCAACCTTCTTGATTCCAGCAGTTTTTGTTTGCACTTAGTACAGATGTAACTATTTGCACACTGGGGTTGGAGTAAGGCTGCCCAGAAGAGCTGGTCACACTAGCCTCTGGTCACATTAGCCTCTCCTTCACTGAGAGGTGCCATGGTGCCCTGGGTGAGTCATGCCTGGGGAAGGAGTTTCTTGCTTTTGTTCAGAAGTTGTCCACAGCTGTGAATGTTGTAGCCATTTTAGTAGCTAAAATCCTGTTTTGGGGGAGGCAGGCTAACCTGCTCATGCTCAGTTCCTCATCTTTGTACAATGCTAGTGAACACTTGCTGGGACACCCACGAGTGGGGGTGGGGACCAGCTGCAGCCAGAGTCACCAGACTCCTAGGCGGGAGACCTGAGTGCTGCTCCTGTCACATCTTGTCACCCTAGCTGGTGCCCACATTTCTGAGAGCACATCAAGAGGGTTCACCACAAAGAAGAAACGGGAAGCCTTCTTGCTGTCACACTGCTGGCCTTCATGCATGGCTGTTGTCCTTGGCATCCATCATGGAGCCAAGCTTTAGACTGTCTCAGACCCCCAATTACTTATATTGACCTAGTGTGCATGCCATGAAACAGACTGGCAGGGGAAAAAAAAACAATCAGAGAAGTTAAACAGATAAAAGAAGTGGGATAACAACATTAACACAAACCAGATTAGCCAGAATGTTTACCTTGAAAATGTTGCTCTCACCACTCAAGAAAAGTGAATTCTACACAGGTATGCAATTCATCAACACAGCAGATTATGTGCCCTAAAGCAACAGAATTAGTAGCCGAATGGAATGCAAATGGCTGGCATCTCTTGGGGTTGCAGGAACTATTCGACTAATTCACTCTCACTACAGGGAAGAGTCCCAAAGTAATAAAAGAAAATCCTTTATTCAATTATTTTAATGGCAAGAGTACTATAGGTTTACCTCAAAATTAGTATTCTATGAGAATAGCAAAACGTACTTTAGAAGCCTAGGCAGTTTGTTTTAATCTTCGGCAATATGATCAGAAAGAGATGTTCAAAAGGCAGATTAGCCACATATATTTTCTTGTGAGCTTTTCTGGGGAACTGAGGGCTAAGTCCCAGGAACATTTACCACAGTCCTGCAGATAATAGCCGGCATCTGTGTGAGTCATTACTTTCCCCTTGAAAACAGAAAATACAAGATGCCACTATGACCTAGTTCAGACACAGGGCAACTCCAGACATGAGCTCTGGAAGATAATGGGGGTGGAGGAGTGGGGGGTTGGGGACATAGAGGGAACAGAAGCCTGGACAGAGATGTCAAGCATTCTGACAGCCCATGGCGCTGCTGGTGTCCAGAATAGACTTTTCCTTTGCTACAAAAATCTTTGAGCTCTGGGGGCAAAAAGCAGAATGAGAAAAAAGTCATTTTGGCAGCTGTATTAGAAAATGACATTCCCCCAAATGTTTGCATTTTCTTTCAGTATTATCAATTATAAAGGAAGGAAGGATTTTACCAAGGCCTAAATATGTCTCAAATGTATTTATTTCTTGGCTATAAATTCAAGCAAAAAGAGTGATATAAAGCAGCGTTGTCTGGCATGAAAACCATGTATGTAATCTAAAATATCCCAGTGGTCACATTTAAAGGTGCACTTGATGGTCTTAATATTCAACTTAATAAATTCAGGTATTATTTTAATGTGTAACCAATACAAAAACGATTCATGAGGTCAATGAAATATTCACACCAAGTGTAAAACCTAGAATATCTTTACACTCAAACCATGTCCCAAACCCAAGTAGGCATATATTTCAGGGGCTCAGTGCTTCACGTGGCTTGTTGGTACAGGAACAGCACCATTCTGAACGGAAGAACTTTCCTCTGTGCAACACTGGTGCACAGACACTTGTCTAAAGCTGCTTCAGAGGAAGGTTCGGTTATGACTTTATTATGACAGGGCCCCATGTTATGTATAATAGCGTAGAGGTCTATTTTTTAAGGGGGTCTCAATGTTTTGTCCTGTTCACTATCACAAGCTTTGTTCATATATCAAGCTTGCTAATGCACTTTAAGACACTGGTGTCCAGTCTGCGTTCTGCTTCCTTGTAGTCTCCACACGTGTAGACTAGTGCCACTGCCATCCGCTGGTTTGTGCTCAGCATCACACGGATCGTCTTTACTCACCCAGGGACTATCCAATCTGAGCCCAACTCCAATGGAAGTCCCTGTGACCTAGCAAAGATTATTTTTTTTTTGTCGTTCTTTTAAGTGTCAAACCATGTTTGGCCCCCTGCTACATATAGACCCAATGTAGGTTGAGATCCTAAGCAAACATGCACATACGAGCGTGACGTCTGCATAGATTTCTTTCTGGTGAAATCCCGGAAAGCAGATGAAATCATAGCATTAATGACATCGGTTTCCTGCCAAGTAACAAACTGATGAGCCTTAAGACACTTTCAGAGATGAAAGCCTCCTAGAGCAGAGGCGTCCCAGAGTACATCTCACGGTGGTAGACAGGATACGTCGGCACACTTGCCTTTATTTCCTGAAAACAGAATAAACGCTCACGTGCATTTCACATTTCTGGAAATAACTCCAGAAGACTGTTTACTCCTGGTTTCTCTTCACTTTAAGAGCTAACTCATGGGCTAGAGAAGTGTCTCCGTGGTAGAATGTTTACTTAGCATGTGCAAGGTACTGGGTTCAATCCTCAACAATACAAACAGAACATTTAGTACTTAAAAACATACCCAGATATCCAGAAAGTTTGACACAGGAATCACATAATAAACACATGCAATTTACTAATGATTTTTTAGTATATGTGCTGCTGAAGCGAGCACACACTAATGATTTTTTTAAAAGCCAAATCCATTTTACACTACACACTTGGCGCAACTCTGACTAAAGTCTCACAGACTGGTCAGGATCAGTCGTCCTAAAGACGCTAGCCTTCTGTAACCGGCACGGCAGCTCTTGTAACTGGTAAGGCCATCTGACTCCACCCTTAAGGCTGGTGTGTGCTCTTACTGTACAGCTAGCTACTCCACCTACGGTGTGGCTCCACTCTGTAAGCTCACCAGAAGTCAAAGGACAGAATCCTCATGGCAATGCTCAATGGTCAGCAACTGGAGAAAACAATTAGATACTCATCTAGTGGAATAATTTTTAACAAAGTTCCCAATGCAATGTACATTAGGAGGAAGCAAAAAAGAAAAAGCTGTATCTGGTTTAGTTCTATTTATCATTTATCCTTTATGGATACATACATGGAGACAAAATGCTGAAGGGTAGAAAGGCCTCAATTTACACAAATACAGGGTGAGGCTCCCTTTATTCAACAGGGAGAGAGAAGGTCAGGGAGGGGCACATGGGGTGCCTAGGGGGAAAGGCAATAAGGCAGGCAGCAGGCATATAGGGGTTGTTATTATTACTCTTAATACTTGGGTAGATATGTGTGTATGTATGCATGTAGTTGCTGAATGTATAAAATCTAAAGTCAGGATGGTTTTACCAAGAAACAACATTGACATCTCTGATGACAAGCTGCAGCCTCGAGTATACTGACAACTTACCTGGCCTGTCACCGACTGCTTTTGCTCCCCCTTGTCCTCCTGCTCAGACAGGACCCCTCAAACCACATTGTGAGGGCCTGATACATGCTGGCAGAAGACACAGCCATGCTAATCTGGCCTGTGTGTCTAGAACTGGGGAACCCTCCCACTGGAATCTGGGTCACACGCGGGCAGGGCTATTTGCTGATTTGGTTTTGTGAGCTGACACATTTCTGTCAGCTTAGAGCTTGTTGCCTTTGACGCCTCCTCCACCCTCCATCTGTCCCAGTGTTTAAGTTCTGCAGTTGTTTCTTGGTGAGTTCAGCCTCAGCCCTGCCTTCAGAGACATTTTCTTTTGCTTCCAAATGTGACTCAAAGGAAGCCCGAGAGAGAGAAGTCATGAGTGCTTTCTGCAACCAGTATGGGGCAAACCACTAAGCAGTGTGCCTGCGAGGAGACCACAGAATACACCTGGACAAGTGGCTGAAAGTCCCACCTCAGCCTTGGGCTGCCGGGGGTCGGGGTGTGTTTGCTTCCCAGAGTGCCCAGGCAGAACCACGTGCATCCTTCTGGGAGTGAGTGGCTGCATGGTAAGAGTCTAACCCTTCATGGATGGCAGCAGAAACAGAAAGCATCCAGCCAACTCCAGAATCAAAGCTGGAAAGGGAGTGAGACTAGGAAAAAACAACTCCAGTTGAGAACGCCATGTTTTCTGGAATTTATTCTCCTTCAGTGAAGAATACAAAATCTGAGATTTCCCCAATGTCTTGAAAGACAAATACAAACAGACTGAAATCAAAATAATTACAAAGACTGAAGCAGACCCAGACACTCAGGGACACATCTATATCAAAGTATTTCTAGAAAAAACAAATCCCATAATAAAATCAAACAAACCAAACAAAACATAAAAAGCCTTTGGTACCTTTCAATAGCAAAAGGAAAATATTTAGATGGTTAAATTCACACAATATAAAAATGTAAATGTTGAGTTAACTTTATAAAACAGAAAAAAAAACTAAAATATATTAGCATCTAAGGGCTATGTGTCTTCTTTTTCTCCTCTTAGATTTTACTAAACCCCTAGGATTTGGCGAAGTATTTCCTGAACTAAATGTTCTTCTTGTCTGTAGACACCTAGCAGTATGGTGTTACACGTTCACCTATGGTTAAAATGGCACCATTTGGTTCTCAGCAGCACAAATTCCATTGTCCCACAAGGAAGTCAACACTCTGCCTTGAAAGTCCCTGGCATTATAGCCATGCCTGCACTTGGCTCGGTTTTGAAGATGGTGGTGACCAAATCTAGAGACAGCCAATTAAAGGGAACAAGAAGAACACTATTTCAGCTGAGTATGTAGAGGCAGAAGGAATAGGTTCCAGGTCTACATAGTAAGACTGTGTCTGAGGCAACAATCAACAGAAAGAGGGAAAGGAAGGCGGAAGGAGAAAAACAATTTGTCAGTCAGCCTGGGAGGCATTTTAGTACAGACCCAGTGTGCTCTATACACACCACTATCTGGGAACTATGGTCAACTCTACATCCTGGGCTTCTACCACCAATCCCGTGTTTTCTTTGCTGACTCTCCTGTGTTCTTGCAAAAGAATCATGGCAAGAAAATGATACGCAACTGTGAGAGTAATTTTAGGCACACCATCTATTCAGTGTGCTTAACATGGTCACGGTGGGTACAGTTTGGCCAATCACAAAGTTATGTGACCAATCTTGGCAGCTTTCTCTGTCTCAAAAGTATGATGCTGATCCTACAATCCAAAACATGCTAAGACTTCACTTTGCCAAACTGGTTCTTGGCACTCATTGGCAAGAACAGACCCAATCCACATAAGCTGGGCTGACTTCATGAGATAATATTTAAACAGAAATGCGTCTTGTAAGAAGACTCACAAACTCAAGCACAATATCCAGTTAGAAGAGAAAAAAAAAAAAACCTTCGAAGTCCCTGTGATTTATCAAATGGAATTTGACCTGGATCTTGTTTAATACCAACTAGCCAGTAATATCCATGACAAGCTTGCACCTGGTCCATTCATGAAGAAAGCTGTCCTTTCTTCTGGCTGTAATAGGATTGCAAATCTCAAGCTGAGATCTCAACTCCAGCATTCAAAACAAAAATGCCACAGACGAGTCAACATTTACCAAAGCTCATGAGGGGGTGGCGGAGGGGCCACTAGTTTGCTCTTTCCCTCTCGCAAGCATTTCCTTCTCAGAGTTGGAATGAAAGGCTCCATGTCATAGCATGCCGCTACAGTAGGTGGAGATTTCAGTCAGGCCTGAGTTTATCCCATTCCAGACTAGTCCTGTTCAGTACTCACCGGTGTCCACCCAAAGGGAGCAGGGATTTTGCTTCTTAAGAACAACTCAGGACTACTGTCTAGACAGCTCCTTTCTTGTCTATGCTGCTCTGAAATCTCACTTGTGCTCATACGCACGCACGAGTGTGTTATGCATGCCTGTGTTATTCTGAAAAGTCTGAGACTATGAACTGGTCTAAATGTGAAAAGGGGGAATAAAGAGACAATGGTGAGTAACACGGGAAATCGCACTAGCCAGCGCCGCGGTCCTGGAGCTGAGCACCGCGGCTTGCGTGTGCTATCCAAGTCTTCTATGTGCTATCCAAGTCTTCCATCATTAAGCCCAGCCGCAGCAGCACCCATGACTTCTACTACACTTCATAAACGGTTCACAAAATATATCTAACCAAGCATTTCCTTTCTCTAAAAATATAATCCCATCACAAAATAGAACAAGCAGCTGTTACTCAGGGGAGCTGCATTTGAAAATATATGTGCATGTGTGTAAGCTACCAGAGTTGAAATGCCTTTGCATATGGACAGAGCAAACTTCCTATTAACTTACTATCTAAGTAATGCACTTCCTAGTATCTCAAGCAGTCTTATGCAGACAGTGAAACTTCCTCCTTGCAGAGATAAAGAAGGAAGCTTTCTGGCAGCAATCTCTTCTGTCCTGTAACTTGGCTGTGCTAGTGCATTATTGCAATGGTGGTTTTGGAAGCACCTGTATGGGCCTGGAGAATTTTATAGGGGTGAGGGTTTCCATTACAGAAAGGAGTCGAGAGCATCTAACTTCTCCAGCAGGTGTTATTACAAAGTACCAGAGTAGTGACATTCGTGATTCTGCAATAAGAACCTTCAGTGTCCTTTGTCAGCCTGCATTGCTTTTCTTCTTTCTGATTCAAAGACGTAACCATCCTGGCAAATGGGTTTCAAGGATGCAATGCAGGCAGCATAAAGAGGACCAGGCTTATGCAATACTGGTGTCTAGTAACATTTAGGGCAGAGCCTGCGCTCTCTCCCTGATGGGGCTGCCCAGGTCATTAAGGAAGTGGACTATAGCATGTGACAGAACTTTCAGGTGAGCGTGGCAACTGCAAACAGACGAGAAATCAAGAGAACCCACCACCACCACCACCGGAGCCCTGATTAGCTTAGAACAATCACTCAGTCCCCATTATTCCAGAGTCCGCCAAAAACCACCTCTTCCAGGTCAAGCAAAGTTGCTGATTGTGCGTGTGGCTTTGTCCCAGTGATGCATCAGGTAAGCAGGTATGCGTTGAGTACCAGGGGTGCTCCAAACTGCAACTCCATCACCTTCTCTGTCCTCTAAGGTTCGGCCTATTGGACAGAAGAGGGAGAAAGGCACAGTTTTTATGCTGTGTTGACAGAAGAGTTGCCCTTGGCAGCGTTTTGTTTTGTTTGTCATGAGTCGCCTTCTGTGGCTGTCAGGAGCAAGTCCTGACTTTTAACCAGAGCCTCAATTTCAATCGTACCCATCCACCCTGCAAGCACTTAAGAACAAGCCTCATTTCCCAGCAGCCACCAAGTCTCCTTCCCCTGAACACTGCTGTGTGACCTCTCAGGGGCACAAAGAGGTGCTGGTTAAGGGCGAGGCAGGGTGAGTGACATCATAATGGCCACGTCATTCATAAAGCATCACCATCCCAACTGTTCAGGTGCCGCTCTGTCTGTCCCCATGACTCAACTACACAAGTGTCACCAAGAAGCCACTGTGGTTTGCTCCAGATATGGCCAAAGAGTGTGCGGTACAACCATGTGTTATGCATTTTGGAAATCACCCCTAGTGGTAGGGACCCAGATGCAGAAATTTCTGTAACAGGATCTGCTTGGAGTCCATTAGAATAATGAACTATGTGGTTTTTTAACCTGAAAATTGCCAGGGGTTGGGTCCCCTTTCCTCAGTCAGGGAGACACCATGGAGGCCAGCTGCTGCTGCCTCCTGTCACTCAGTTTTCCCTTCCTGGTACTTCCATCTCTCCCAGCTTTGATGGAAGTGGAAAACCTTAATGTCACATGCTAGCAAACCATTTACCTTTTACTTTAAAACGTCCGATGCAAGATAAACAGTGTGCCCTGAGCCGGGGGTTGTTAGGCTATTACTTAGTGATCGCTGTCCTTCCCCCACTCTGTCAACTTTGGGGAGTAGCCCAGTTGGAACCGTGCCCGCCTGCGGGCCATCAATACACTCTACCTACTGTGGTTGGAGACTACAGATACTAACGGGGCCTCTGCGCTTCCTGGCTCTACCTTCTGTGTGTGCCTGCTGCAGGTGATGGGAGAGAGGACAGGGCCACTTCTGCTGTCTCACATCTATGACCGTTTTGTCCAACCTGTCAACTGCACTTTATATGAATGATAACCAAGGTGACAAGGAAGCGACTAGAGGGGGGGGAGGGCATGTTTCCTAGTTCTCACATCCCACTCCTCTCGGAGGAAGATGAACTATGCGCATTGCTATGCCCTAAGGCTCCGAGGGTTCTGGTGCCCAAGAGGCACAGATACTACGCCAGGGTGGCACGTTCTGTCCCAAGGACCCCTGCTTAGGAACTGCTTCCAGGCCCTTTCTGCCTTTCGAGGGACAAACGTCAATGGAACTCAGACCAAATGTCTCGCGGATAACTACCACGTGAGAATGGATCCTGCTCAGACCACAGCTTTCTTTACAAATGCTAAGGAGAATACACGGTGGGAATGTTACGGTTTTGAGCAATGACCTTGCTGTAGAACTGAGGATGACCTTAAACTTCTGCAGGGTTAGCATTAAAGGGATGCCGCACTATGCTCAGCTTTGCCAGTGCTGAGAATCAAACCCAGGATGTCACGCATGCTAAGCAAGCCTGTAATGATGGAACTACAGCCCCAGCCTCATTGTCTAACGAAAAAGAAAAACAAAACAACAAACAAGTAACAGCTCGATAAATCTCCAAGGAATCTCTACCTTTGTAGAACATGAGAACAAAGATGGCATGCACATAGCCTTTTCTACAAGATTTTGACACAGATAATGGTGCCTACTGGGTTCCAGCTGCCATCCAGTAATCCTTGCTCCGGGCTCTCCCTTCCAGTTCTCTGAAGATAAATCTGGATTACTTAATATCTTTGGGTGAATATTTCATACAAATAACCTAATTCTCCTAACATATTCAAACGACTGACTTGTGTAAAAATAGCTCTAAGAACCTGTAAATACTTTCTGTGCGGGCGTGCCTCTGTTAGAAGCGTGTGCATAGGAACCACCCACAACCCATCTGCAGGCTTGCTGACGCTAAAACAAAGTGCGTTTTCACAGGAGCTCTGGGCCCCAGGTGCTGCCGGAGGAGTTCTCTTATGGAAGGCCGCTGACTTCCTCCCACAGGCGCTCCAGAGAGCATACCTATCCCAGGCAGCCTCAAAGGATCTGCTATAAAGTTCACATAATGCAGTGCAGGTTCAGCTGTGTTAAAAAACAGACACTCCAGAATGCAGCCCAATTTGAGCTATAGCCAAGGCTCAATTACCACGTAAAGAAAACATGGAAAAGTCTCACTGTGGCTAGTTCTGGGTAATGATTTTAATATTCTATTTTATATATATCACACCTTTCCAACTTTAAAAAACAGACCTAAGCTAATTTTCTAATCACAAAAACCCAGTGTTTTTAAATGAAGTAACCAAACTATTAATTAATTTGGTAAGTATCATTTTTTAAATATGACTCTTATGCTTTATACAGTTTGTGGAAATATCCATTATTTCTAAGTCTTAGCACAAGACAAATCAGGTTCTTCATGTTTTCCCAAAGGCATATGACCCACAAAGAGGCTTTAAAAATATTCGGATTGGTTTAGGAAGTATGCGCAGTATCGCTTTCTGTTTCATTCTGGAGACACCTTTCAAATGTGGCTTTGCTTCTACTTCCCACCTGCTGCCCCTTGGCATCTGTGAGGGGACTGTCTCACGTCCTCGTGGGACCCTAGGACTCTCTAGTCACTCCAGTATACAGCACCTGCAATTCACCCATATACACCTGCCCACATGGAGATGCTATAAATAATGGATATATCTATGCAAACAGGTCTTATGCTGTATTATTTAAGAAATAAGGACAGGAAGGCCCAGTGCTTTGGAGGTAGAGGCAGGAAGATCTCCGAGACTTCAAGGCTAGCCTGATCGCCATGAGTTCCAAGATAGTCAGAATGGAAAGACCCTGTCTCAAAACAAGCAAACAGCAGCGATTAAGATAGGAGAAAGCTGTACACGTTCAGTACTGATGTAATGTTTTTCAAATATTTTCAATCTGTGACCAAATCGATTACAAATGTTAGATTCAGACACAGGGTAAAATGCAATATGAATTTATAATTTAAATAGAAATGACCTATTTTTCTACCTTAAATTCCTCTTCCAAGAATAGAGGTATAAATTAAAAGTAAACTAACAGTCTGATTTTTAAAAAGTTAAAAATTAGAGGAAGGAGTTTAAAGGAGCTAAAAATTTTGTGTTCAACACTACAGTCTGTATTCACCCGAGAGACTCAAACGTTAGGAGAGTGGACACATACCCTTCTCACCCACCCTTGAGGTGGACTCCAGCAATCTAAACTCTGAAGCGGAGTACAGAGGGTTCACTACTGTGGTCGCTGAAGCAGAGTACAGAGGATTCACTACTGTGGTCGCTGAAGCAGAGTACAGAGGGTTAGCCTATTTTAGCAGGAGTACAGAGGGTTTGCCTATTTTAGTAGGAGTACAGAGGGTTAGCCTATTTTGACTACAGAAGGTTAACCTACCATGGACGATGGCCGAGGCTTCAGGCCTAAGAATGAAAAGACTGTGTTGCTCTCCTTTGATTCAAAAAAACTGTCATAATCCTAGAAAAAGAAGAAGAGAAAACCAGTGAACAACACCAAACAATTATCTTCATAGTTGATGCTCTCAAAAAATCCTACGTGGAAGCAAGAAAACAAGGTGCGATGGCTCTGCCAAGGCCCGTCGAGAAAAACCTACGGGCACCTAGTGGGTTCGGCACGCTACACCCGAAAGGGCACGCCCCTGAGTGAGAACAGATTTAACAAGTTTTTTAATCCAAAACTAGGACAGCATTAAAATTTGGCAGCAGAAATAAAGGAGCAATCACATTCCTTTTTCTTCATGTGTCAAACTGGAATTCATCTGCACGGATTGGCTTTTATCTCTAGATATAATGCAGAGAGTCATCTCCCAACGGCATGCATGACGCTTGATACTTTGCTCTCCAAGACTTAAAAACAAAACACAAACAAACAGAAAACACTAGCAAACAGGAAAGTCACAGGTGTCTGCAGGTGTCAGTGGGTTGGAATTTGAACAATGCAAGTTTGCCCCTATCGCCCTGTGCTCACATCTTTTCTTGCAGACTTTGGGTGCTCATAGAGTATGGCCTAGCTCTACACATCCTGACCCTGCCCAGCCCTTCAGTCGGGGGATGCAAGGCCCTTTAATCGAGCCCGTGCTGACCAGTGTTCACAGATTCATTTTTAGGGGACTGCTAAGGGACATGCTCAGTCATGGCCAGTGGTGGGCACAAACTTGAGCGGCCCTTGACACCTCCCCAGCTGTCTTCCTTGCAACAGGTGCTACTGAGGTCACTGGAACTACAGACTCCTAGGAGATGATGGAGAAGCCCCTGGAGCCGCCAGAAGCAGCTGAAGCTGTAGCCAGGGGCAAGGCCCTACCTGGGCACTGCCGTGGTTCCAGGTGACTACTGGGAAAGCTGGCCTCTCCTTCTTCCTGCTGTCCAAAGAGCTTAGTGGTAACACGGAAATATGACGTACAACAGTAAAAGGGCTTACACTGAGATCTAATGTTTATATGTCAGATAGTATTTGTAAACCTCAAAAGATGATCGGAATTCCCCAAACCACAAATTTAAATGTAAAGCAAACTTTCACACATTTTTCAGTTCACACCTAAAAATATATACAGGCAGAAAAAAACATGCAACGGTATCAATAACCCATTTATTCACATTGAGATGAAGCTGCTCTTACACGTATTAGTCACCAACGAAGGTATTTGCAAATGGCAGATATTTAGAAATCTCAGGGTAATATTTCTAATTTATAAAAAGAACAAAATTCCCCTAAACTATATTTCTTCCCAAAAATGATAAGCATGATTTTTATTCAATCACTGTTGAGCTCAATGCCATGTAGCTAAGGCTAGGGGGCTTCTGGCCTGGAAAGTGCTGACTTAGACTCACCAAGACCTCAGACACCTTCATTAAGATAATTAACCCCCAAGAGAAAGTGACACAAATCGAAGCTAGTAGTTACTTATAAACTCAGAATAATGTACAGCCATTTGAAAACTCTATTATGCTGTGTATGATATGTGTGGGTGTGCAGGAGGCGTGGTCACACCAGGGCACTTGGAGAAAGTCAGAGAGAGGATAGCTTTGAAGCCAGATTCCGGGGACTACACTCTGGCTTGCATGGTCCTCAGGCTTTCTAAACATGCTGAGCCAGACAGCCAGCCCAGAAAGTCATTCTTAAAGTCAATATCTGGCTAGTACTAGACACATCTCGGATTACCAATAAAACCTAAGTCAAGTGGGCAGATCAATTGTGTTTGCTAATTATTGACTGGCGTGTCATATGTTAGCATTTTACCCATTTGAACAGTATAAAAACACTTGCTTTCTGGCATTCAAAGACTTTTGAGTCCGTCGAATCCTAAATATAAGCAAAAACTAAATGTTTTTGGTTATATTTGAGCAAAGTGAATTACTGAAAATTTAAAGTCCAGAACCTTTTACTATTCCACTCAGAGTTAAGCTATATGCTATGAAATCATTTAAGAGTAACACAGTCACAGAATTTAAAAAATCTTTCCTCTTAAAATATAGCTTCTTATTTATGACCCTAGGCCAGAATGTGCTCCAATAAGAGAAAAATAATTAATGTTTTCTTATCAACTGTGTTTCACTTGTCAAACTTTTAAGTGTGTGTGTGTGCGTGCGTGCGTGCGTGCGTGCGTGCGTGCGTGTGTGTGTGTGTGTGTGTGTGTGTGTGTGTGTGTGTGTGTGTGTGAATTCCTGCCAAAGGTGAAGAGTATTATGGTTTACAAATCCACACAAGGCTTCTAAAACAGACCGGCTGAATTCCCCACAGTTGGAGGCACTCTTTGAAGCTGCTGTCTGTAAATGCATGTCTGCAGGCTGTACTGCACACCGCAGAAAACTCTGCTCTGTGACTGCAGGCCATAAAGATCAGGTCATACTAACTCTGCAAAGGACACAAGCACAGAAATCATATTCAAGGTTAGAGTGCCAGGTTTCAACAGCCGCTACATTTCATTGCAGTTAAGACAAAGGATGGAACGGAAGTCATCGCTTCTAAAGGCAGCCACAGAACAATGTCTGGGCTTCACAGACCAAGCATAACCCGGCGTCTCTCCCCGACCGAGGGAACACTTTTCTACTTGCTTTAAAGAAGAATAAAGTTAAAGAGCTGTGGAAGTATTTTAAGAAATGCAGGAGGGAAAGGAAAGATTGCCATTGCCTATACTTCTGTTTGCGTTCAAGTGAACTCGATGTTGGAGACATTTATAGGCCCCTGATAAAATCTGCAGCAGGTAGAGTGTTGAACAATAGCCACATTCTTCCACAAAGCCCAGAATGGACATTGCCCGCCTGCTCTGATTAGAGTACTACGGACTAAGCAGCCAGTGGAGACAAAGATCTTCAAGTTCTCTGCCTTTTCAGGGTTCCCCATGAGAGCAGTTAGGAAAGCCCACAGCGGCCACTCTGAGAGGCTGTGTGGCCTCTTCTGGCTCAGGTAATGGCAGGTAAGTGACACAGCCATATTCTTTCCACACGCCAAGGGCACAGCTAAACAGAAGGCTGCTGGGAACACAATATATAGACAAGGAAAAGGAGGCAGCAACCAGTCTACATGAGTCAAAGGAAAAGCTGGCTGGTCTGAACGGAAGACATTTGTTAAAAATACATCTTTCAATGGCTCCTGGAGCTGCTGCTGCTGCCTAAGATGGACAGTACCTCCTGCTTCATTTTCTCTGGAGCCTGAGGGTAGCCTCCGAGCAGAATTTCTAGATTTTTCGAGCTAAGGGCTGTTAATGCTATATTCTATTTTATGAAACCTTGATATGGAAAGAAAAAAAGTAGTTGGCAGACCCAATCCTGGCAGGGCAGAGGGGTAGGGGTGACTATCTCAAAACAGCTTCACCCAGCAGTTCCTATGCCAGACACTCAAACTGGTTGAGGATACGGTGCAGGCACGTGCGTCTCACCTCCTGTCTTGTGTGGATGCCATCTGAAATGAGGCGGGGTAGGACAAACATGACAGAGTTATGCTTAGGAAGACATAAGCCAGCAATAAAATTTATTCAACACCTAGAATGTGTAGCAAATACGTCTGGGCTGGCAGAGAAATCACTGGGGGGGGGGCACTAAACCCCAAAGAACACAGTGCTGGGGAAGAGAGGCAAAGGCTAAAGCGGCAAGAGTGTACTTGCTGAGGCAGTCTGTCTGTCCTGGTGCTGGTGAAGCTGGGATCCTCTGAGGAACACTGACTCCCACCTACTGCAGGTCCTACCAAGCCTACAGAGGCGGGAAAGGCCACATGGTCACTCTGGACACACAGGGCATATGGATGGGAAGGCTTATCCTGGAAGGGCAACGCTGGCCTTCATTCCTTTGTAATTCTCTTTTGTTAGCAGTCCAGAGGGACCAACCCCTTACTGTCTCCTTTGCTCTCCTACCCAAAGCAATCAGGCCTGTGCAATTGGGGGAGGGTGGTGGAGATGGGGGTCACCTGGCTCCTAAAAGAAAAAGTCAAAGACCAACAGCCAGGATGAATGCTGGAAAGGTACAGGCACAGAAGAAAGCCTCTATACCATGTTCTTCGAATCAATATCCTTGACAAGATTTAAGATGCTATATCCATAAAACAAGAACAAGACATTATTTTTCAAAAGAGAAATAAAACAACAGCAAAGGGGCTCCTAGAAATTAAATCTGATTGCTAAATAAAAAATGTAGAAACAGAATGATGTAGAGCTGAAAAAAATCCATTCAGCTAGTGCCTGAATGGCATCAAGATCAAGAGATGTAATTAATAAAACTAAATACTGCAGGTGGGCAAGAGAGGAGTGAAAATAGTTAAAGAAATATGAAAACTTCCCCAAAGGAGGCGGGCTGATTTTCACATTGGAAAGTCCTTCCAATTACTGAGCACAAGGTTCTTAGCAGATTTCACAACCGAGGACCAAACAACCAAACGATGCAATGCCTTCAAGTGACAGAGTAAAGCAACCTAGAGAACCTAGTCCAACAGACACAAACACTCTGGAAGTCAAGAAAGAGAGAAAACAAACAAAAACCCCAAAGTCTTTCAGCGCGGCAGACGAACCTAAGAATGGACTACAGGACACACCAGTTCTTCCAACCAAAGTAGGGAATGCAGGGAGAAACAAAACAAAACAAAAGCCCAAAAACCTGTCTTGGTAGGATACAATTTTAAATCTGTGACCAATGAAAGTATCCAGTAAGAATGAAAGTTCAAACAAACAAACAAACAAAAGAGCTAACAACATCAGAATCTTTTTTTAGATGAAAGTCTAGGCGAACACAAATATAAGAAAAAGTACATTCCTTGCGTCTTCGACAAAGAAGGGGGAGTGAGTGAGTGTTCAGCTTTTCTGGGAGCCTCCTTTGATGCTGACATCTCCATCGTTCTCTTTAAGTGGAGGGGACTTACATACATAAGATAGGATTATACGTCTTTCCCTGTGGCTGCTCACATTGCTAAACAGCATTGCAAACCGTATTTACAGAATGACTTCAGTCTAAGCCACATTTATGCAGCAGTTA